GCAAGAGAGAGCCTGGGGTGTTGGCGGGAGCTCAGAGGCAGCCCGGATGGAAGGTGGGGTGTCGGAGGGGAGCTGAGGGAGGTGAAGCCAGGAAGTGGAGGTGGTGGTGAGGGGGGCAGGCAGGCAGCAGCCCCCGAAATCGGCTGTGTGCTGGTTAAGGACTAGGTACCTGAGTCTGAGCACAGTGGGCCTTCAGGGGCGTCAGGGACTGGCGGACACTTGGTGGTTTAGGACAACTTTGATGGTGGGAAGGATTGGCAGGAAGCGTGCCGAGGGGCTGGGCAGATTCACAGAAATGGTCTCGTCCTGCCCGCCACCCCCATGCCAGGCTGCGCGGGTCTGATGCGCCTTGCTGTGCCCCCCAGGTAACTACAGCTCCAGGGTCTGGGAATACTCCTCCACCATTCAGAACTCTGATGAGGGGCCTGCAGTCCAAGGCAGCTCCTCCTTCTCCCTGAAAGGTGAGCTCTCCCCGCCCGCCCTGCCTTTCCTGTCCCTCTCCAAGCTCTGCTCTAGCCTCCGTTCCCTCCCTCACCAGCCACCCACCCTGGAGGGGACAGACCCCGGCCTGAGAGCCAGGGAGCTGCCTCCTCCATCCGAGTCTCAGCTGTCAGGGGACCCTGGGCCCAGGGCTTGTTTCAGCGAATGCTGGTCCCTAACAATGAGCTGCATTGTCAGGGAGGTGGGGACGCCACACCCCACCCCTGCCCCTGACATCCCCAGCGGGCTTCCATCAGGCCTAACTGAGTCCTCCTGCTGCAGAAAGTTTAGCTTTGTTCAGCCAATGCCGGCCGGCCTCCGTTGACTCTAGAACACTGTGGCCACGTAGCAGCCTGCCACATCCTGCAGAGCCAGAGTCCTGTCAGGCCCTTTTCCAGAAAGGCAGGACTAGACTAGATCTCTAAAGCCTCCCGAGTCTGACTCAGCTCCCCAGACCAGGCTGAGTTGGCCAGGCCCCTCCTGTCTCTTCTGAAAGGCCCTAGGGGCAGCTCTGTGGGCTGTGGTGTAAGCCAGTCTGTCTTCTGACGCCCCAGACATCTGGCCTGGATGCAAGGATACCAGGCTGGCTGGGGTCAGGGAGAGGGAAGAGAGAGGGCAGGGCAGGCAGGCCCCCAAGCAGTGGCCTTCGAAGGTGACTTTATCATTCAGTTGTCCCTTCCAGGCTGGAATCCCAGCCTATCCCCAGGGCAGGGATTCTTGGAAGGACCAGCTCACCTTGCTCACCTTAGAAGGTGAATATGACTGGAGGGACCCAGCCTGCAAGACCCCCGGGGATGTCCTCTCCCCAAGCCAGGCCTGGGAAACTCTGGCACGTGCCTTGACCTGTCTGGCTCCCAGCAGTCCCTCCCTGCTCTCTGGTCAAGCCTAGATCAAAGGCTACAGGTCAGGGAAGATGGTCACCCCCGGTGTGATTTGGAGCTTTCACGCTCCAGAGTATCTCCCCATCGGCTTGCAGCGCCCCCCCGCCCCCCGCCCCGCAAAGACCTTGCCCTAGGAGAGCCCCTCCTCAAATACACTGAGCCCCGCCCGTGAGGCTGGCCCCCGCCTGTTCCTACTCCAGCAGTCTGGAGGGAGGCTCCCGCATCTCAGCACCCCAGGTTGAGGTGTGACTGCTGCTGGCCCCTCCTGGGACCAGGCTGTGCTGTTAATCCCTCTCTCTCTCCCAGCAGGCACTGGGAAAGCCCCCTATCAGTTCACCACCTTGGGACAGGCCACCACAGAGTTTTCCAAACCACTGGACGGCAGTGGGCGGTTTAAAAATAATCCTGGTACCTGCCTGTCTTCCCTCCCCTTCTCTCTCCCACAGCAGGGCAGATGGGACATCCTCTGGGGCTCTCTGCCACTTCTAGCGTGTCCTGGTCCTCCTCCCCAGAGTTGCTGGAAGAGGGATGCATCCCCCCCACCCCTAGCTCACCCTTCCACTGGACTTCTGTCTGCTGCACAAGGCTGGTCTTCTGGACCACCCCCTGCCCCCATCCCCATCCTCACCTCTCCTGCGTGGCTGGCGTGGGTTTTTCTTTCTGGGAACTGCGAATTGAGATCTGAATTCCTCCTCTCTCCACCTCCCACTCAGGACCCATGGAACCCTCTTTCCAAGGCTGCCCCCCCACCCCCAATGCAGGGAGAGACCCGGGTTCTCTGCTCCGTCTCCACCCTCTTGCTAAATGCAAATGGTGGGAAGGGTCAGCCTGGCTGGCTCATCCTCCCTTAGAGCAGCCGGAACGGGGCTCTGGGCTGCCCCAGCCAAGGACAGACCCTATTTATTTCTTGAGCTTCTCCTGTCGGGGTCATAGTCTGTTCCTTCCCAGGCCCCGAGGCCTGTCCCTGCAGGCCCATGGCTGAGACCAGGAGTGCTTTCCACAGTTCTGTGGCCCAGAGCTCCTTACAGATCCCACTGGGCTGAGGGGGAGCAGGGCAGGTGGGAGGACCAGGCCCAGATAGCACCCACGTGCTCCAGGCCCCGTGGGCTTGCGGTCTTAACCGTGGACCTGAGCCACATGGCAAGTGACTGACTGTCCCTGGCCCCAGCCTCCTGCTCCTAGAACGGGCGAGAGGCCCTGGAACCGGGCAGGAGGAACATGAGGATGGGCTTCAGCATCCAGCAAAACCTGGGTTCGCATCCTGACTGCCGCTTCCTGGAGGTGCAGCTCAGGGCAAACTTCTCCCAGAAACGGGGTGAGGGTTAACGAGAAGACCTGTGCGAAGGTCTGCACGGTGGGGAGGGAGGAGCACTGGCCGTGCGGCATAGTCCGTCGGAAAGGGCGCCTCCTGGTGGAGACCCTGGCCAGTTGTGCTCATGGGAAGGGGCGGGGTCCGTGGTCTGAACCTTCGGGGCTCATGGGGGGACATCCTTGCGGAATAATGTGATCCTGATCCGGACCTGGATTTGGAGGCAACACTCCCCTGCCACCTGGCCCAGCCCACCTGGCCTTTTCCTCCGCCCTCTGTTTGCCTGGGTGCCTCCTCCCTTTGGCCAGCCTCCCCAGGATTTCCCCCGGTGCCCACCCCCCAGCTGCTGCACATCTCTTCAGGGGTCGCTGCCCTTGGTAGTGGGCTGGTTGGAGCTTGGTGGTCACTTTGGAGATGGTACCCATGCTGCTGTGTTCCCCGGAGGCCCCAGCAGCCAGCCCTGCTTCCTCCGACTTGTGCCTCCTGTCTCTGCAGGCTATCCTTCCCTCATCAGGAGCCAGAGCCCCAAGGCCCAGCCCCAGACTTGGAAATCTGGCAAGCAGACTTTGCTGGTGAGTGAGGGGCTGCCAGGACAGCCTGTCTGGGCATAGGCATGTCCCGAATGGGCACTGAACGGGGCTTCCCGGGGGGCAGCTGGTCATCAATCACCCAGGGGAGGTGGGGGGAGGATGTGACCTCTCCGGGCCATCGGACAGAGGGAGGGGGCAGCAGGGCCTGAATTCCTGCATTCAGTGAAAGGTAGCAGAGACCCAGGGCTAACAGGCAGTGGATCTGGGTAAGCATGCCCTTTCTGGGCCTCAGTTTTCTAATCTGTAAAGTGGGCAGCCCTGATTCTTTAATTTGGCAAATGGTTGCTGGGTGTCTGTACTTGCTGAATGGGGACTTTGTCCCCATCAGCTCTGCGAGTGTGAAATGCTCAGTCCAGGGGACAGACATCCTAATGATGGGTCCCACCTTCCTGGGGCCATTCCCCAGCTCTGACAGCACAGAGGCCATTGGGGTGATAACGTGGTGAGGCAGAAACTATAAAGTCAGGAATAGAGATATTTAGGGGCTCAATGGCTAATGTCCCTGAACTGGGAATTGAAGAACCACACAAGAGGGGAGCGTGGCCTTGGGGTCTGGCCAGCTCAGGGGATCCTAGGTGAGTCAGATTCCCTCTCTGAGACTCTGTTTCTGCAGTTTTGTAATGCAGTACTGAGATACGGTGGTCCCTGATGCCCCTCCGACCTGACCCCCACCCAGGACCTCAGTGAGCAGGGCCTTCCTTCACAGGCTATGACTCCACTGCCCTGAAAGCTTCTCTCCTGGGGCCGAGGCAGACAGCTGCCGGGGGATATGGGTGGCAGCAGGGGCTTGGCCGGGGACAGGGGCTAGGGTCCCCAGTTCCCTGCCGTCTTTGCATTTGGAGGTCAGAGCATGGGGAGGTGATTTGCTCCGGGCCACGGCGACTGGGGCTGGTTTAATTGGAGAGAATCTTTAATTTGCTGGTGATGGGAGCTAAGTGATTGCGTGTGTAATTTGGAGCTGGACCCAGGGGCGTTGCAAGAGCAGGACTGCAAAAAGCAGATATGGGGAGGAAAAAAAGAGGTGTTTTGCTCCTGGACTCAGTCCTTGCCCTCCCTACCACACACTCTTCCACCTCCCAGGGCCTGGGTCTCAGCAGAGAAAGCTCATTACCGTCTTGAGACACTTGCTTGGCGGGGCAGGGTTCCCATGTCTGTGGCTAGCATGCAGCGCCGGAAGAATGGATGCAGGTGCTCGCGTGGGAGGGAGGTTGTCCTGGGAGTCAGGATGCCTGGGGTCTGGCCCTCACCATTGTACCCACTTGCTGTGGGGCCTCCTGTGAGCCTTTCTTCCTCTGCTGCAGTTCTCACAACTGTAACAGGAGTCGGGGGCCTGGATGATTCTATAGCCCATCCAGCTCTGACGTGCTATGACCCTGAACCAGGGAGCTGACTGGGAGCAGAGCAGAGCTGGGAAGGTTGTTGCCGGCTCTGTGCTGAGCCCGCTTCCTGAATGAGGAGCCAGGATGAGAGAGGCGAAGGGGCTGGGCTTGGGGACCCCACCTCCGTGTTGGGCTGGGCAGTTATTTGCCTTCTCTGCACCCTCTCTGTCAGAGGAATCATGCGGAGAGCCCAGAAGCAAATGCCTGATGCCCTTGAGACTCAAGGAGCAATCTGGAGACATGGGTGGGGTTGTGGGGGTCGGGGGGTCGTGGGGGAGCTGTGGAGCTGGACTGCCGGGGCTTGAATCCCAGCTCCCCTACTCACCAGCTGGGTGGCCTCGGGCAAGTTTCTTAGCCTCTCTGTGCCTTGATTTGTTCATCTATAAAATGGACATGATAATAGGAACCCACTTAATTGGGCGGCTGTAAAAACCCCACGAGTCCTTCCATACAGGGCACACGTAACAGCACAGCGCAGTTCTGGAGAGGTGAAAATGATGTGCGAAAGGGAGCTGGTGGTGCTGGGGCGGGGACGGGGGCTCCTAGGCCACGGAGAGAAGGTTGGATGAGGGGCTGAGGTTCATGCTCATCAGCCGGCTGGCGGGAATGAACTCTGAGTGGGATATGAACCCGGAGACTCTGATAATATTGGGTAGATAGAGCCTGCGGGTTGGGCCACAGGCCCCTAGAACCATGGGTTCAGAGGACTGCTGCTTCCCCGGGGGGACGTGAGGCTAGGGTGGGTCTGGCTGGTCGGCTCTGCTGCCATCTGCCCTCCCTAACTACTCTTGTTTCCCTCCCCTCCCCGACAGTCTCACTACCGGCCCTTCTATGTCAACAAAGGCAATGGGATGGGGTCCAACGAGGCCCCGTGAGTTCCAGACAGGCAGCACACCGAGGCCCTGGCACCCCTGCCCTCCCCGGCTGATCCTGCTGCTCTCGCTACTGTGCTCATCTGCGTGGAAGGGGGACCCCCTCCTCCTTCCCCCCGTCAGCCAGGCCCCATCCAGGCCCCTCTCCAGCTTTGGGACTTCTAATGGTCACCATCTCTCCTGTGCTCAGAGACCAGCCATCGCAGGGGTGGGAGATAGGTTGGCTTCTCTCCCCTAATCCACCACCCTCCTCTTGGGTGGGATTGCTGGGGCCCACGTGGTGGCAGCCTGCCTCTCCCACCCATGCCCCTGCTGTCATGAGGCCTGTTGGCCGTTTCTCTCCAAGGCTTCTTCCCCGTGATGTGGTCAGTAGGTGCTTGGCCAGGATAGTTGCCCGTCTCTCATCCACGTGGGCCCAACTTCTCCTTCCCACCAGCCCGGCCCCATCAGGAGGCCGAGCCTGCAGCCCTGGGCCGCCGTGGAGGGGAAGCTCTCAGGGTCTCAGCATCATCCCCACCTTGCCGGGCGTCACCGTAACCGTGCGGAGTCCCGAGGTCCCTGGGGATGGGCTCTCCTGGCTGCAAGGATGGTCTTAGCCAAAATAGGTCCCTCTTCTACCTGCTGAGATAAGCAATTCCCTCAACATGATATAATCCATCCATGAACATAGTTCCTGGCCCAGCCGCCCAAGGGACATGCCATTTTCCTCTGGAATCCTGGTTGTCCTGCTGTTCTGTGTCCTCCCTGGCGACGGCAAGTGAGCAGGCCGGGGACGGTGTGTCTCGGCTGGTCACTTGCAATTTCCAGGTAACTGCTGCTGTTATTTCTAAGGGTAGCTTACCCACCGCCGCCCACCCTCATCCACTGCCCCCATCCGTCTTCCTCCTCCCTCTGACTACCTTCCATGTCGCACGCTGTCATGGGGCGCAGGGCCTGGAGAGGGACCAAAGTAGGAGCAGCAAGGTGGGGCCCTTCCTCCTCTCACCATCCCTCCCAAGGGCCCTGGGGGCAAGGAGGCGGGGGCCAGCTGGCCAGGGGGAGAAGGGGGGCATTCAGCTTGGGCTTTCCCCTCTGGAATAAACCATTGATCATGGACTTCTTTTGTATTGAACAAACATGTCTAGAGGGTCCCCAGAGGGACTGGTTGCAGGTCTTCAGGACACTTTCCCACCACTGATTAGTGTGGGGTCATCTTTCCTCTTTCCTCCAGAAGACATGGCTCCATCAAGTCTCCCTCTCACCCCATCAGAGCCCCTGGGGTGCAGTGCAGGAGACTGGACCTTTGTTCTTGGTGGGCCTCACTAACAGTGAACAGAAGGGAGGATGGGGGGAGTAGGGCACCCTGGGGTACGCTGAATACCCTGGGCCTGTGAGTGCTCAGACCGCCCCCATCCCCTGTCCCCATCCTCGGTCCCCTGTCCCCATCCCCCACCCCCATCCCTGTCCCCATCCTGGGTCCCCTGTCCCCATCCCCTGTCCCTGTCCCCATCCCCGGCAGGGAGCAGGACCCCAGGAATGGCTGTGTATAGGCTGGAGTGGAGACTGGTCAGGGGCTTCTCTGTGGTGGGGAGAGCTTCCTGGGCAGGGGGACCCCACAGCCAAGGCCTGGCAGAAGAACCACCAGGCTTCTGAGGGCAGCACCCTCCTGGGCTTGGGGCATGCAGGAAGGAGAGGAGCCCAGAGAGGCCTGGAGGGGTAGTCAGGGAAGGTTTCCTGGAAGAGGTAAGCAAGACAGGAGGAAGCATGACTTGGAAGAGAGGGAAAGAGGGTGCAAGCAAAACGCACACTTTCCTTGGTGTGGCCAGGACCGCCCCCCCAGGCCCCTTCATTCTCACTGTCCTTCCTTGCTCTGCTCCTCACCTGAGGCCAAACCACACCAGGGGAGCAGCCCTCTCCCCTGCCACCTAGTAAAAGTACCTAAATGAGCTAGCTGCTGGCGCATTGTGGAGGGGCAACCCCCTTCCCTCCTCCCTCTCCCCACCCTGCTGGGCCAGTGGCCAGGCTTCCGGAGGTAGAGGTGGGGGGTCCTTGGGATCAGAAAAGGAAAGGGAGAAATGAGCCAGACGAAGAGGGCAGAGGGGAGGGGGTAGGAGAGGAGAGGATGGTGAGGGGGCCCAGTGCAGCGCCATCAGGAAGGAGGCTGCCTCCCATGGAACCAGCATGCTCCCCCCCTCCGTGCTTTCCCTTGGGAGCTGTGAGGACAGTGTCCCCTGGATCGGCTGCTGCTGTTTCCCCAGCCCCTGCTCCGGGTCTGGTTCCATGAGCAATGCTCTCTGGAGCCCCTCCCCAGGCCAGCACTCGGTGCCCTGCAGCTTCCCGGACCTGCTTTAGGACCTGCAATCCCCGTGGCTGTGATGCGGAGGAGGGTCACGCTCCTGGGCTCTAGGGATGCTCAGTTCTTGGGGAAAGGCCTTGGCCCCCCACATTTGGGGCCCTTCCCAAAGCCGCGGCTCCAGAGGAGGGAAGAAGGGGAGGGACCGAGCCCAGCTGAATTCCCTGGACCCCTGCCTGTCCTGGGCCGGGGCCTCACCAGGAACTACCGGTAGTGTGGAGGCTGGCATGCTGGGAGGACAGGAGGACAGCCGCGTCCAGGGAACCTGGGCCCCAGGCTGGGGCCTGGGTGGGGATGTCCCCTGAGCACCATGCTCTCCCCATCATTCCCCGCCAGTTCCATTACCACTGGAGCTGTGATTCGAAAGCAACTGGGGGAATCCTTTCTTCCATTTCTTGCGAATGCCTCCCTCCTCAGCGAGTGAAAACATCGGACCGTTGCAGGCTCCGGGATGGGAGTCGAGGGGAAGGGAGCCATCTCTCCCCAGAAAGGGAGAGAAAGGAGAGAAGCAAGACTGTTTCCATTCTTGTTCCTCTCAGCACCAGCCAAGCCTGGTCCATGCTCCCCTGTGTCTGGTCCCCACTAGCTCTGGGCTTTAGGCAATTCCAGGCATGCTGTGGGCAGCCTGCTGGCAGATGGGGGAGGACCCTCAGGGGGCTGGGCTGGGGGAGGACGGAAGCAGAACTAGGGCTCAGCAGGGAGCCCTAGCCAGGTAGTTGGGAGTTCTCTTCCTGGCTCAGTCACTTTGGGCTGTGTGATCTGAGCCAGCCGCTTGCCCTTTCTGGGCCTGACCTTCTCCATCAACAGAAGTTTGGTGGTGTTTTCACTGGATCATTCCTGAGGTCCTCTCCCAGCTGTAATAGTTTGTTGGGTAAGGATCACAGCAGCAAGGGTGGTTGGGAGGGACTGGAAAATTGAGCTCCCATCCCAGCTGGGGCTCCGTGACCAGGACGGGGTTGAGAGCCAGGTGGATTGGATTCTCAAATCCCCGAGGCGCCCCTTACCCAGCCCAGCTGCCCCTCCTCAGCTCCACACCCTGCCAGTCAGGGATTGGACCCCTCCCCAAGCAGAAGCCTCCCCTGCTCACAAGGGCAGGGGGTGAGGGGGCCTGGGGGCCTCAGAAGCATCTGAGTCCTGCTCTGGGCCTGGATCTCCAGGACCCACTGCAATATGGACTCCATGACGTCAGGGGTTATTCCTTTTTGTTCTAGAAGGGTGTGGGCATGTGGGCAGGCCTTGGAGGCTAAGAAGCAGTTGGGGGGGGGGGCGGGTAATCCGGGACATTCCTGTGGGGAGCTGACACTTGGAATTCAGACTTTGGGCGACAGTTTGGAGCCAGACTGCCCGAGTTAGAATCCCGCCTGTGGCACTCACCAGCTGTGTGACCTCGGCTAGCTACCCAGCCTGTCAGAAGCAAACAGCATCTTAGAGGATTGCTGGGGACACAAAAACAATGTGCAAAGCACCTGGCCCCAGCAAGTGCTCAGTAATTGAGGCACAGTAATATTATTGTTGTCGGACTAACAACAACAATAGCAGCAACAACAGCATCCCAACCCGGGACCAAGCTCGATTTCTCCAGCCTTTTCGGGACCATGGGGGGGTTGGGGGAATGGGGCCAGTTTCCACTTTCCCAGCCCCGGAACCAGCTCCACAGCTCCCTGTAGTCTGAGACATGGCCAGCAGGTGGCAGCATTTCACTGCAGTTTATGGGCACTCAACCTCCCTCCCCAAGCCACTGTCAGGACTGGGGCCCCACAGCCCTCCCACTAGGGGAGCCCCTTTCTCCACTCCTTCTTCATTAGCTAAATAGACCTTGCCCCAGGCTGTGGAATGTGTGATTACAGGCCGGCAGTCCCCCAGCCCAGCAGGAATGAGAGGCTTGCTGCTCACCCCACCACACCCCGCCCAGCCTGGCATGGGGACTGCAGTGTGGGGCATGGAAGGGTCTCATCCATGTGGGGGGCTGCTACCCTTGGACTCTCCCTGCAGGCGGGCATGCTGAGGGAGGGGGCCTGGTGGGCATGTCAGGTTGAGTTCTGCAGCCCCTGAAGGTTGAGGGGACTCTACAGGTCAGCCTACCAAGCCAGGTGGTAAATAGAAAGCCAGAGTCCTCAAAATCCAAGGCAGGAGAAAATTGAGGGGCAGAGTCCCTTGGCTTCCTTCAGCCTCAGATTTCCTGCCTGCAAGGTGGGGAGATCGGTATCTTGCTCCTGATTGTGCAGGGAGATCAGAAGGGTAAAAGCTGGGGCCAGGACACATGTCCAGAGGGGGCAGGGTCTTGGAGGCAGAGATGTGAGCCCAGCTCCTATCCAGGTCTTCCCACCAAATCCTCAAATTGCCTCCCAGGAGGGACCCAGGCAGTTTTATCTTTCTGAATGTTGACTATTAAGTTTGAAAACTGTTGTTCAGCCGCATATACGAGGGAGATAAACACTAATTGCTGGGTGCGTGGGCCAGCCCCTGATTCCTAACCCATCACCCCGCCAAGGCGGAGGCTGAGAAGGGCAAAGGCAAGGAGGAGGGGGTGGGGCTGAGGGTCGTGGGAACCACTAGACCCTCTTGCAAGAGGGAGAGTGGTGGGGAGGCAGGAACCCTCCCCAGGGCTGAGAACGACACCCTAGTCCCTGGGGCTCTCCAGGGAGGACAGAAGCCAGGCTGGGGAGGTCTTTGGCTCACACATGGTGAAGAAATTAATCCTAAGTGGACTGATAATTTGTTTCCCCACTGGCTTCTTGGTTGGCCTGGGGGGGGGGGGGGCAAACTGCATTTCTCTGAGGTTGGTTCCATCTTCGTGTTAAGACCCTTAGTGGACTGCAAACCCTGGTCCTTACAGGCAACTTGCCGAAGGCGGATCCATCAGTGGAAGGCGTGGCCTTGAGAGCCTGTCCCTGAGAAGGACTCATGATTATTCCTTGGGAGGTGAGGTTGTGGGTCTTTGATGGCTCAGGTGGGGACCTGCCTAGAGGGGGACGTGGACCAGATAACCTGAAGCCCAGGATTGGGTCCACTGTGCAAGCCCAGGTGAGAGAGAGGGCTGGGTTGAGGATTCAGGATGGTGGGACAGAGGGGGTTTCCTTGTCCATTCCTAAATCTTCATGGCGTGCCAAGACCTCGGCACGGGGAGACAGGAGGCACTGCCCCGTCAGGGAAGCCGAGGATAGTCATAAATGAATGCGGGCTGATTTAGATGTGATAAGTACCCGGCAGAGGGACATGGGGGAGCAGGGCTGAGGGAGGCGGGCTCTCCTGGGGGGGCGGTGGACCTGGGGGTAAGGATCGTCCAGCAGGGGACCTGCGTTGGAGAGTGTTTTCTGCAAGTGTGGGGAGGGCAGGGGTCAGCTGGCTGGGGGTGCTGAGGAGGGGACACTGGGCAGCGGTGAGGGGGGCGGGGTCCCATCACACAACTCTCACGGAGAGTTGGGGTTTCCTGTAAGTGTGGTGCTGCCACCGCAGGATGGTGAGGGATCAGATTAGCGCCCTAAGAAGAGGGCCCTGGGATGGATGGTGATGCTGTGGAGAGTGGAGGTCCAGCTGGACAATGACGGCGGCCGGAGACACGGACGATGGGGCCAATTGTGGCGGGTAGACCGTCCGGGTGGAGGAACGGGCAGAGCCATGGAGGCTAGGAGTATAGGAGGATGAGGCAGTTTGGGAAACCGGCTGAG